CAATGTACAAAGAGCACAGGCCTTGAATTCCATGTTTCTTGGAATTCTGGTGGGTCCTCATATGAAAAAATTCATATTTTTACTCACCTTGGGATAAGCATTCATTTTTTTTACAAGAAAATGAATTCTATTTTTGCATTACCTAATAACTGCCTTTCGTTGCATTAAAGTAATTACAAGAAATGGTCCTGCCATCTCTTGTATTCTATTTTTGCATTACCTAATAACTGCCTTTCGTTGCATTAAAGTAATGTTTAAAAAAAAACAGGAATTATTTCACTGAGACTTTATAAAAGAAAGAGATACATGCATAGTAGCTGTCCTTTATTTGAAACCAAGGCCTGAGGAATTTTTGTATGTTTAGCCAAAATACTTGAAAATTCAAAAGAATATATCCTCCTGTTTCGTGTGTGTGTGTGTGTGTGTGTGTGTGTGTGTGTGTGTGTCTGTGTGTGTGTGTGTGTCTGTGTGTGTGTGTGTGTCTGTGTGTGTGTGTGTGTCTGTGTGTGTGTGTGTGTCTGTGTGTGTGTGTGTGTGTGTGTGTGTGTGGAGAGGGGGGGGAGAGAAAGCAGATCCTAGTATTTTTATTTTGAAGTGGAAATTGTTTCAGATGTGTGAGAGGTTATTTCAAATTTATCTTTAGAGCTGTAATTTGTATCTTTCATTATATATGCATTTATTTTCATGGCAATGTCATTTATAAAAAAGGGATTTAAAAACAATATTTCCTTGACTAAAGAGTAACTTCCTTTATACTCAATATTTTACTAGTAAGTGTTTGACAGCTGAAAAGACAACACTAAGTGGCTGGAAAGGGGACATCAGACTACAACCGAGTTTAGTACCTCAGAACCCACAGGATGGAAAGAGGGAACCAATTCTCACTAATTGTTCTCTGACCTCCATATGCACTGTGGCATGCACACACACACACACACACACACACACACACACACACACACACACAAATAAATAACAAATATAAAACATACATATAAGCTAAGTTAGTTATATTTATATATAACAATAATTAATGAAAAAGAAGGTCATGATCAGGAGAGAGAACAAGGAGGGGTATATGGAAAATTTAGAAGGAGGAAAAGGAAGGGAGAAATGTCGTGACCCGGCATGTCTCAGCTTTAACCCATGACAACCATGAGGTTCTACCTGAGTGGGGTGTGTGGACCTGGAAGCTCCTAGCAACCCAGCGGCGATAAAGACCAAACACAGGCATCTTGTCATCGTCAGAGAGCTCTCAGTTCCATGTTGTAGAACTAGAGTCATTTCTTTATTAGCCATCTTTTCTGGTGTTTCTTAACCATCCTGTCATGACCACGAGGGAACCATCTCTCTTTGTTCTCTTTTTTCTGGTCGCTTGCCCCTAACTCCAAACCTTCTATCCTCACAAGTTACTCACACACCTCTGCTGCAGAAAGACACTGGACTACAGAAAAAACTGCTGAACTGAATCAACCAGTGTACTTCAAAGATGAACTGACCTCGGTGTGGAAACCCGGACATGTGTTACGTTGGAGTAGGGGTTTTGCATTTGTTTCCACAGGAGAAGAAAATCTTTGGATACCATCAAAATTGATCAAGATTCGAGTTGAAAAAGACAATCCTCTCGACAAGGACAACTGACAGGTATTTACTGAGGTATATCTCATGAACTAAATAAAAGCCTCCCAAAGGATGGGAAATGCTTTGTTTTTATCCTCACAGGAAACCCCACCTCCGGAAGTCAAAGAACACTACATGAATAGATAGTTAAGGAAAGAAGGTAGCTATAAACATCAAATAAAAGGAATGTGCCATACAGTAAACTTTACAATTATCTCTCAAATAACTCTATTTCTCTTCATTTCCTAGTCCCTATTCAATTATATCGATGCTGGATTTGGGACTGGATTTGGCTTTCCTCCCCTAAAATCCAAGCACGTTATTTAACAAAATTTTATAGTTTCTGTGTTATATCAAGAAGCCAATTGCTGTAATACAGAATAAATGAAGGATTAGAGGGCTATCTTTGTCTTTTCTTGGCTCTGTCTTTCAAGGCCTACACCCTTTCATAATTGTCATTTTTCAAGGATTGCCTTTCCCAGTACACACACATGTGCAAGCAAACATTTCTCTGATGACACTTATGTTTGAGTCCCATATAGCCAATGAGAACCAGCCTGATAACAATCCCTGCATGCTCTGGAAAAAGAATTGGACCACACCTCTCTGACCGCACTGGATTCAGCTCACTGACTTGACACTCCGGCCAGAGCCTCGAGTAATGACTTCAATCAAGTTCAGGATTTCAACCTAGATCTTCAATCAAGCAAATCTCATCTAACATGGACTAGA